GTTTCACCTCCTTGAGGGCCAGATGAAGAATTACCCGGTTATGCGGCTCTCGACACTAGTTTGGACCACAGGGTCGAGCATACATCCCGAGACGAGTGAGCAAGGTGGAGGAGAAAGGAGGGTCATGGCATAGCCAACGAGCTCACCATGCTAGCCGAGCGGGAGGATGAAAGGGGGTTGAGTGGAAACTGAATGACAACTTATTCTCCTTTTTTCCTTTTTTTCTTTTATAGGTGGATCCCACTTGCCATCTCAAGAGGAAATATGTATCCCAGGCACACTACTAAAGCATAGTGATTTAATGAAAGAAAGGCAAAACTAAGCATCCCCGAAAACTTTTTTCGGGTAAAACCGAAAACCCATTAACAGAATAAAAGTGTAATAATCCCAATTTCTTTGTGTGCATTGCCTAGTTGCCTTTTCATCCTGCATACTGCAATTCTCTTCAGTTTGTCGCAAAAAAAAACACAAAGCATAAAATAAAAAATAAAATCACAAAGCATGACATAAACAAGAAAATGCCCATCTCATATGTCTGTTCACACGAGAAGGCTACAACTACAAACTGAAGCGATTACTGTTCTTGCAAGAAGTAAACAGTGAGGACAAACAAAAAAAATCACGAATCACCAAATCAGTTCATCACATTAAACTTGAGAAAATCAACGAAGCAGGACATAAACAAACAAACGCCTATCTCATGTGACTGTTCACGCAAGAACTTCTCCATCGACCTCAAGGCGCCTGCGCTTTCGAAGAACTTCTCCATTGATGTTCTTTAGAAGTACCCTGTGGCCGAATGTGACATTTGCTTATCAAATTCTCATGTAATTTTCACTTCAATCAATTAGCAATAGGTAACACTTGATATTAACACTATTATTTTCAGAAATATTTTTGTAAGATACTTATGTTATAGTCAACAAGTTTCTGCAGATGGCCATGCTCGTGATTAATTGTTTGCTCATAAACCAAATCATCTAAATGCACCTGATCAGGGTTAGATGAAATTCAAAAGGTATAATTCTTGTGGTTAATCATTTTCTCGCCAATTATACGTTGTCTGTGATTTTTTATACCACAAAAGCACGTTCACAACTAAGCAAGCTAGGCAGGTACGCCCAGGTACGCCAAAGAGGCGTGCCCCAACCTCTAGTTTAACATTCCAAAGACTATCTCTCCGCATGATTCCCAATCATGTGTCTCAACTCTCAAGGCTACCTTGAAGTCTATCCAATCCTGCCAACTAAACATGAATACAACACTTACTTAGTTTAATTTGGTCATGGTCTTGATCATATAGTGTGACTTCATACGAATGTGTCCCATTACCAGAGAATCGACTATTCCAATAGAATTGAAACTCTGCAAAGGTTGTACACCTTACCCATGCCATGGACTAAAAGTCTGACAAAACCTGCTTACAACATGACACTCTTATCGTATCACCGACCTCCAGCAGGCTAGCCATGTGTGAGAGAATCTGGGTCCCTCCCACCCCGTGACACAACTAATCCACAACAGGATTCAATAATTTTCTCTGTGCACATCTCACAACCCAATCTCTCGTGACTACACAACAATCCCCCATCCAAGAGGATACTAACCGTCCAACCATCCCTCTTTGGTGACACACAAAAGAGACATAACTATAACCGACCTAGGGCCTTCCCACTAAGGCAAGTGTGGTTGTACTACGAAAGGATCAATGCCGTGGCACTACGAACAGACCAACCATGAAGGGTTAAATTAAGAATTCAATTCTATTACAAATAAACATTCTAGTCAATTTATAATAACTTTTTATTTCTACCATCTTTCCCAAATATGATCATTTCTAAAACTAGAGTCTGTGTCATCCAAGATGATCATGCCTACATGAAAGCAAGAAAAGAATGTGGTGTCTTCTACTACTAGAATTATCCAACATTTCTACTCATATTACTACTCTCAACTAACATGTTCTCATCAATCAACTAAGCTTCAACCTCAACTTAAAAACTAGTGAATGTTGTTGGCCAACTACTATCTACACAAATGACACTAGCATGGCAAACATTCTAGCACAAAAATAATCTAAAACTTAATTTAATTACTACCATAAAATGAAGAAATTACAATTTTTAACCCATGGCCTACAATGCCATCAAGCAAATGGAGGTGGTAGCTTGCTTTCCTCAAGTGAAGTGCAACAGAACTCCTAGTCTTCACGTCATGTATTAATTCCTTCTGGAAATAATTTAAAATTGCTTTTGTAAATAACACATAAAGTCAAATATTGTGTCCATAAATTCCAAACAGGTCAAATAAATCCCAAATTAAATCAACAAAAAAAGAGTTCCATTAAAAATAGCAAAAATAATCAACTAAAAAAGGTCCTATAGTTTAAAAGTTATCATTCGTCAAAGTTGGGTCAACAAAACAATTTAAATAAAACAAAAACGATTTAAATAAAAAACCCCATGGCGTTCACGTTGAAGGTGTATTTCATAAATGTGCCTCCACTTACATGCCACTTCGGGATGGAAATGAGTCGCCGATAGGTGGGCCCCACCTGTCGGGTTTTTGTTTAAAATTGCACGATCATTGGAGAAGTGGCTCACCGGTGGCCGTTCGCCGGCGTAGAGGGCACGACGGAGCACGGGTGTGGGTGCATTGGAACGACGCGAAGTGGGTGATCCTCCTCGTACTCGTAGCTCCTCCGAAGACGTCGTGATAGCATCATTTCCTTCCTCTCCGGTGGCGACGGTCTTCGGGCTCCGGCGAACTCTAGCAAAGCGTCGCATATTTGGGGAAGCTCCTGGTGCTTTTCGTCAGTGAGGTATGGCGATCCTAAGTGGTGGTGGTGGTGTGGTTGGAGGTCGAGGAAAATCCTTGCCGGCGAGGGCGCCCAAGCGGCGGAGTTTCGCTTGATTTTGCGGCGGCAGGCCATCCTGGGCGTGCTCAATGGCTTGTGTGACGTGTGAGAGAAGGGAGGAGGTGGTGCGAGTGAAGTGTGAGCCGGGGGGTCTTTTATACCCGACGTGTGGGTGTTGCAGACATGGCACCACCGCGGATAAGCTCGGATCAGTTGTGGTCACGCCGGACTCTGCCAAGCCGTAGTGGGGGACTTGGCGGGTCCGGGTGAGTGCTTGCGAGATCGTGGCTGCGGCTGTCCGGGCTGTGCAGGAAGACGACGACTGCGGCGCGTCATAGGTGAGCGGCACCGCGTCTTCCGGCGAGCCTAGCGGGGCTGGTCGTAGGGCGTCGAGGGGGTTTGCAGAGGCGTGCGCGTGGCGTCCTGTGAGCGATGGCGAGCCGGGGACGCGGAACGCGATGAAGCCGTCGGGTTAGTTGCACGCTAGTGTGCAGAGCACGCTCTCTGCATGCCAGTGGCGTGATCACCACGGCCAAGAGCCCTGGCCCATTATTGGTGCTTAGCACCGTGTCTAGTGTGTGAGGTGTTCAGAGTATGGGCTAGAAGTTGTCTCCCTGTGTCCCCAGGTGCACTGAATTGCATTCTGCAAGCCCAAACACTTTGCTGTAGCAAACTTTGACAGCAGCTACAAAGCAAACTAGGTAAGGGTCGGTGTGTGGGTGATGTCTAGGGGTGTTACCGTACTAAGGTGTACAAGTGTACCAATTTTCAAACAGTTTGGAACCATATACAGGGTACTTGCTGTACAGCTCAGAATTGGGTCCAGAAACTGAAAGAAGATGGTGTGCTCAAAATAAAAAGCTTCTGGGTGGATTAGTGTCATTTCCAGTGTTAGTTTAACCCAAAGAAATTATACAAACTGGCACAATGCCCGTGCGTTGCTATGAAACTAAAATATTAGGAGTACGGTCATAACTTATGTGCGTAATTTGAGTGGAGTCACATTTTTGCATTTTGTTATTTGTGCAATCAACTGTTGGCCTCACATGAAAAAAGTAGTGTACTTGCTAATTCAATGACGATTCAACAAAGTTTAATGACGAATTTTCACCAGCAAAGTAGTTCATCACACTTTTTTATTCTTGGAAAATCAACAGAGTTCAGGATCAACTGCTCCACCAAAGTATAGTTGATAATGTCAAGAAGTTAACACAGAGGATAAACACAAAACATTCAGGGAGGGAGCCCTATCCATTGTGAAGATCAACGAAGCAGGACATAAAGAAACAAACGCCTATCCATTGTGACAGTCCACGCAAGAACCCTACAACTACAAACTGGAACAGATGCAGGTTTTTACACGAAGTTAAACTCAAGGATAAGCAAACAAAATTCGAGGAGATCAGACCAGCAAAAATTTCAGCACAAATAATTCAAGGATAAGCACAACCTGTAACTGCCAGTTCACCAACTCCATGACGTCAAACTCGAGGAGACCAGTCAAATTTTCAGAGAGTTGGCATGAATGCACAGCTTTTTGCAGAAAGCTTAAAGCAATACAGATCAAGGACGAGAAAAGATAGACAGGCGAGACTGGCTTAAGACAATCAAAGTAGTTCATCAGGCCAAACTTGATACAATAAACAAAGTTCATGACAAATTTCACCACTAAATCAATAAAGTTAATGACCAGTTTCACCAAGCTAGTCTAGTACGCCAAAATTAAGGAGATCAAGAAGGTTTCATGACCAATTTCAGCACCAAATCAGTTCATCATATGCCAAATTTGATGAAATCAACAGAATTTCATGACCAATTTCACCACCAAAGCAAGTTCATCATATGCCGAAACTCGCGGCCAACTTCACCTACTCGATGCAGGACGATCAACGAAGCAAAACAAGGAAGAAAGACACCAAACATGACCCCATCAACAAGGCGTCTCTCACACTCTCTCGCGCCGGCCATCCTCCATGAGCACTACCACGACGGCACTACCTACTCGACCTTGACGTGGAAGACGTCCTTGCGCTCCTCCTCCTTGACCTTGAGCAGGGTGACCCAGAGCACGCCATTCTTCATCTCGGCCTTGATCTTGTCCATCTTGTACGCGTCAGCGGGCACCTCGATGCGGCGGTTGTACCTCGGCACCGCGGAGTCGTCGTCGCCGTCCCAGGGCTGCTTCTCGCCCTCGCCCTCGATCACCAGGATGTTCTTGTCCGCGCGCACCTTCACGTGCTCCTTGGTCAGCCCCGGCATCGGCACCTTGAGGTACACCGCGTCGTCGTCCTCCTTGGCCACCCAGCGTCCGAGCCGCGACGCCCCAGCACCAGCAGTGGAGGAGAGGCCGCCGGTCTTAGTTGCGACGTCCTCCATGAGAGACAGCAGACGGGCCATACTGGTCGGCGCGCCGAGCGGGTCGAGCACGTCTGCAGAATCAACAGCGAGGACACCAAAAGCAGATCAGAAGGTTGATTTGACTCACCAGGGAAAGACTTCACAACGAACGCAAACAAACGGCGCAAGACAGGCGGGGAAGCATACCCTGTGAGAAGAAGCTGGGGATGACGAGGTCGCGGCCGCTGTAGTCTTCGTCGTGGCGGCTGACCTCCTTGTCCTGGGTGCTGTACGGGCGGCGGGGGTGGTGACGGCGGGGGAGCGGAGCGGGCAGAAGGCCACGGGAGCACCGGACTTGAGGAGGCTGGCCGGCGCGGTACCCTCGCCCTTGCAAACGACGGCGGAGGCCATGGTCTGTCTCTTCTCCTCTTTCTCTCTCTTCTTTCCCTCTCTTCTCTCTCTCTATCTGCTGTGATGATTTTGGATTCTTGTGGTGAGCGAGAGAGGGGGGCGCGAAATGGAGGGGGGTTTTGTAAAGGAGGAGCGGGAAAGCTTTCTTGGGGAAGGGGATGCTGAATTGGGTTTAGAAGGTTCTGGGGAGATCGGTTGGGGTCTCGAGTATTCCAGAACGATCGGGAGAACACTGCTTTACGTTTCGTGCTGCTTGATGTACTACTATCGGAGGCCATGGATGAAGGTAATTATTGAGCTGATGTGGTGCGCAAGGCAAGAGAAGTTGCTCTATGTCGAGTGATTTGCCTTCTCTAGTCTGCTTGGCGCTTGGCAGTAAAGCAATCCACACCAAAATAAATTCAGTATAATTCTTGTATTACTCAATCATGTATTCTCTGGTCCAGACCCAAGCCATACTGCAGTTCAGCCTTGACTATCAACACCATTTTCTTGAGAACGAAAAACAGTCACATGTACACATTGTGAAAATTCACGAAATCAACCAAACATGCTTTGACGTCAAGACATACATGGCTTTATTTAATGGGCTGTTATTTAATACAAATTTCTTTGAAATATTTTTTTGTGTGTGTTTAAAGTGTAGAGTTTATAACCATGTTCCAACAACTTCATGCCATCGGGCAAGCAGGTGGTGGGTGAGGTACTTTCACCATACCTGGCTGACCCCAGGCCGTCGTCAACGAGCTGAAAGGGCCATGGCGGCTGCGCGGCGAGTCAAAAGTGAAGATGGGGGGTTCGTCATCACCTTCTCGGAGGAGGGAGACCGGCGTCATGTACTGCAAGCAGGACCATGGCACTACAGAAATGATGTCATCCTGCTCGCGGCGTTTGATGGAGGTGGTGACCCCGTGGATGTTCCCCTGGATTCTTTTAGAATTTGGGTGCAAATCCATGGGTTGCCAGTTCCAATCAAGACCATGTAAATGGGATGGATCCTAGGCGACAAGCTCGGCACCGTCATTACGGTGGCACACAAGAACAAGAAGATTATCGATGAGTACATGCGCGTCCGTGTCGAGCATCAAGTGGACGAGCCAGTGAGGAAGTTCATCGACACAACCGAGGTCGGGGGCACTATCAAGATATACTTTCCTGTTAAATATGAAAAGTTGCCTAATTTTTGTTTGTCGGCATCGTGGGAAATACTACAGCCAAGTTATGTGGAGTCCATAGCGAACTTCAGAAGAAGAGCTTCTCCATCAACCTCAAGGCGCCCGCGCTTTCGAAGGACTTGCACGTTTCGGGGGCTTCAACCTGGCGGCTCCTCGATTATGGAGGGCTGTTGATGTCGTGGTACTAAGGCTGACAGTAGAATGGGGGGTAGGTATAGAGAGGCAAGATCCTAGCTATGGAGTAATTGTATACGCAAGGGATTTACGAGTTCAGGCCCTTCTCGGAGGAAGTAATAGCCCTACGTCTCGGAGCCCGGAGGCGGTCGACTGGATTATAAGCGTATGTGTTACAGGGGTGCGAACCCTTCTGCCAGTGGAGGAGGGTGGCTTATATAGTGTCTGCCAGGACCCTAGCCAGCCCACGCAGCGGAGGGTTTAAAGTACATTAAGGCCAGGCGTTGCCTGTAACGCCTTACATAAAGTGTCATCATGACCATAAAGACTACTTAATTACAGACCGTTTGGATGCAGAGTGGCTCTTGATCTCCTATTGGTCGAGTGAGTCTTCATGGTCGAGTGTCTTCGAGTCTGTCGAGTGGAATCTCTCTTGGTCGACTGGAAGGCAGCTTCCCATAGAGATGTCCTTGGGGAGGGTATCTTGGACAGGTCCATGACCCTACCCTAGGTACATGACTTCGTCATTAGCCCCCGAATGGATCGAGGTTTGATTGAGGAAGGAGTTGATAATTTTTCCGACCTGTTTTCCGTGTTCTGAATATGTCACATTCTGGATCAATGACTTTTTTTAGCGATGGCATCAACTTTTCTTTCAGTCGCCTTGATCCATTTTTTTTTCTCTGTCGAGTGAACTTTTGAACTTGGTGGATTTCCGAGCGACGGATCATAGGAAATCTACCGTCTGACAGGTTGCTCTGCTGTTAGCGGATTTAGTGGGATCCGAATTTTGGGAAGCGCGCAAAGCGGAGAGGACCGCGGTACTTGGATGGGATAAGGCAGAGACGCCTCGATTTCCGCGCCACCTTTTTCGCCACGTATCGCGCGCGCGACTGTTTCGGGGATTTGACAGGATCGTCCGGGCCTACCGGTTAGTCACTCGGAAGCGACCTTATATAAAGCGCCGGACGGGGTTTTTTGAACAGTGCATCTCCAATCACCTCTCCCCCTTCCTCCACCTCGCCCGCTGCGCCCGCTTTTATCTCCGCCCAACTGTTCCTCACGCGCCTCGTCGGCGACAAGGGTGAAGGAGAAGACAGCAGCCTTGGAGCAGGCGAAGAAGGCGACTGCGACGGTGAAAGCGAAGGGGAGAGCGACCAGTCGGGGCGGATCTTCGTCGCGGTCCCGCCTGCCGCAAGGCCGGGTCCAAGGGGATTGGATCCGCTCGACCATCACCCAGAGGGATCTCGACGATTTCGCCAATGAGGGACTGATCTCTCATGGGTCAGCAAGACTTCCGGGGGCGGAGTGGCAACCGCGGCCACAAGAGGGTGAGTGTGTCCTCCTAGCCACTCACGTAGATCGCGGGTTCTCTTTGCCGCCGAATCTTTTCTTCCGAGGGTTTCTGAACTTCTTTGGGGCTCAACTCCACCACTTCACTCCCAATTCCATTGCCTATCTCGCCGCTTTCGTGTCTCTGTGCGAAAACTTCCTGGGTTGTCGGCCGCACTGGGGTCTCTTTAAGCACATATTCACTTGTCGCTCTCAGACGGTGAAAAAGGCGAGTCCGGATGATGAGAGGACTAAGGTAATCTAGATGTGTGGGGTCTTGGGGTCCAAATGAGGAGTAAGAGTGCTTTTCCAGCCATGACCCTTCCCGAGTCGGTTAGAGGGTGGCAGTCGACCTGGTTCTACTGCCAAGACGAGTCGACGCCGGGGCAGTCGACTGGTCTCCCTACATTCTCCATGGACCGAGTGAACAAGCCATCTTCCCTGAAGGTACTTCCGGAGGAAAAAGCTTAGGTTAAAATGTTGATGGAGCGTGTAGTTCAACTCATCCGCGACGGGGTCACTGGTATGGATCTTTTGGAGGTTTTTCTTCGACGGCGCATTCAGCCGCTCCAGTACCGAGGTCACTCGATGTGGTTGTACTCTGGTATCGAGGACACCACTCGGGTCCACCCAGAGGAGGTCGACGATGCCACACTGGAGAGGTGGATGACTGCCATCACGGGGAACAAAGATAACCCTCGTGGGGCTAGGAGGATCCCACCACTCGACCAGCCTTATCAACCAGACACGGTATGACCACTTATTCCCGGTGGTGATCCTGTTTCATTCATTTTGTTTCACTGCCAATCGATCGACTAACCTTTGTCTTGTTTCGTAGTTTGTCAGGCCACCACTGAGTTGTACTCGATGCCCAATGGGGCGCAGGCACCGACTGAGGAGGAGGAAGGAAGTGGGGGCGAAAGCCCGGAGGAGTGGGATTCGGATGGTGATGACGATGAAGATGAAGACTCTGATGAGGAGGAAGAGGAGGAGGAGGAGGAAGTTGCACCTCCCCGTTCTGAAAGACGCTCGAAGCTTGTCCATGACCCTGCTGCTGAACGTGGTAAGGGGGTTGTTCCCGTCGCGCAATCGACCAAGCGTCCTCGGACGACTTCTCCGGCGCCGACTGAGAAAGCTCCGAAGCAATCTCGAGTGGCGTCGTCGAAGCCGACGATGGTCTTGCCGAAGATGAAGATGGTGATCCCCACTATCTCAGGGTAATGGTGTAACTTGAGTTTTCTTGTTTCACATGGATTTATTCTTGGTCGATTTGTGAGCTGACCGACTGACTTTTGGAATTGTAGTGCTGCTACTTCTGATACCTCGACCAGACCTGAAGATCACGAAATGGAAGATGCTGTCACTTCAAAACCTGGTACGACCTTTGTAGTTCCGTCTTCACTTGGTTGGTGTTGGAAATATGCCCTAGAGGCAATAATAAAAGCATTATTATTATATTTCCTTGTTCATGATAATTGTCTTTTATTCATGCTATAATTGTATTATCCGGAAATCGTAATACACGTGTGAATACATAGACTATAACATGTCCCTAGTGAGCCTCTAGTTGACTAGCTCGTTGGTCAACAGATAGTCATGGTTTCCTGATTATGGACATTAGATGTCATTGACAACGGGATCACATCATTAGGAGAATGATGTGATGGACAAGACCCAATCCTAAGCATAGCACAAGATCGTGTAGTTCGTTTTGCTAGAGCTTTTTCAATGTCAAGTATCTCTTCCTTAGACCATGAGATCGTGTAACTCCCGGATACCGTAGGAGTGCTTTGGGTGTACCAAACGTCACAACGTAACTGGGTGACTATAAAGGTGCACTACAGGTATCTCCGAAAGTGTCTGTTGGGTTGACACGGATCGAGACTGGGATTTGTCACTCCGTATGACGGAGAGGTATCTCTGGGCCCACTCGGTAATGCATCATCATAATGAGCTCAAAGTAACCAA